ATCTTCCATAGTGCAATGTACCCATGATATTAACCCCATAACCCTCTGAGCTCTTGTCACCATCTGCAAAAATAGATCTGGAGTCTGTTTACAAATCCTAGTGATATTCCCAGCAACGCTGTGTTGTAAAACAACAGTTTGTCTTGAATGTATTTGATTTTACAAAACAGCTTTATCTTGAAAGCCTCACGAGCAAAGCCCCAGTTCCAATATACCCGTTTGCTGAATTAAACAGTGCTAAACATGTAACATTCTAAATGAATTAGGCTGGGAGATGTGAAGAAAGCTGAGCTTTAAGATGAAATGTAGGACAAACTCCAAAGGATGTTTTGCCTGTTTCAGTCAGCATTAGGATCTTGCCTATAGGCCTCCCTTTGAAACCTGGTTACCATGTCATTAGCAGAGCAGTAACTTAGGTGTTTCAAAACATTTTTTCAGGTGCTTTTTTGTATTCATGCTAGCTTCTCAACACCAAAAATCAATCTCAATCAAAGCTGCTACTGAGTTTATCATAAATTATCATGAAAGGTTTTCTACTGAGTAGATGGTTAATTACTATCTAATTTGAATAATTTTGCATATTAATGAGGAATGAATGAAAATCATTTTTAGATTTTTAACTTCAGCTGAGAAACCCATGGAGATAATGGCCCCCTTTTAAGATGCATGTGATCCTCTTACTAAAGGAGACTGAAGCTTTTTTTTTCATTTCCCAACTTGTTTTAAATTGATTAATGGATTAGTGGTTTTGTCATTAATAAACTATATCCCTATGAAAGACAAGTTCATTATTTGACTGTGTGGCCTTGTATCTGCTGCCAGGAAAAAAAAAGTAACTGACTGAAACCAGATTAAGGTTTTGCTTAGGGAGGATGTAGCCTCGCACAAGCCTTTGCTTGCTGCCAGGAAGGCAGAAAACTGCCAAGTTATGCAGAGCTGGTTGGAGGAGGTAGCAATTCATGTGTTTTGCTGGATGAAACAGGACAAGGTATTGCAAACACAACCCTCTTTCTTCTCCTCAGCACCCAAGCCTGAGTGGGCAGAGCCTGCCTGTGGAAAAGGTGCGGTGCAGCCCTCCATACTGCACATAGTAATAAAGCTGTTTTGGCATGGCACTATCAGCAGCCTTTGTGCTTTCAGTGGGCTCTTGTGAAAGAAAGAAGGGACCAAAGGAGTCTTGTTGGGAGCTCATCCTTCATTGCTCTGCCTTCAGGCTTCCTTGTACACCAGTTTACAGGAAAATGAGTTGACTTACTGCTGCCCTGTTGCCTCACCGGATCAAAAGAGTTCTGCATCTGCAGGGAGAGGTGTGAGGCTCAAAATATAAATTCACACAGCAACAGGAACTGGCCATTGGAAGTTGGGAAGTAGACATGGCAGGAGATCTGGGCACTCTGCAAGCCTTCTCTATGTTATGTTGTCCTTTACATAAGGCCTTTAGAGAGGTGACGGTCTCTTTCCAGGGTCCTCAGAGTAACATAGCCCTGATTCAGTTCTGTGTTTCCCTGCATGCTGCAGCCATACAAATAGTAAATAAGGATAAAATACACACCCCACTGTATGGAACCACAAGCTTGTTCAGGGCTGCTGAGTTAACACTACTTCTATTAGGACTTGGGATTACTCCCTTCTGCTTTTCAGTGTTTCCAATAGAAGCAAAAGGAAGGTACAATGAAACTGAAAGGATGTAAAATGAATATGCAATACACTCTTAGAATAAATAATTAATTACCAGAAGATATCAGTGAAGCCCAAGGAGTGACATTTATATAAATATAACAAGACTACCCAGATTTCTAATGGCAAATATTTAAAGACAGGAGGAGAATTTTTTTTTGTAGGGAAATAAATCTTCCTGCTTCAAAGCATGTGCCAGATATTACCTAATGCAAGCTGGGGAGCAACCACACATGCTTCTTATGGTAGACGTGTGACTGCTCCTCTTCCTGCAGCAATTGGTAATACCCTGTGTCAATAACAGGTTACTAGATACTAAAGTCCTATATGAATGTTTCTTAATTGCTTTTCTTCTATTTGATGAAATAGAAAGGAAAAATGATGTGGGTTTTTTTTTTTTAATACAAGGATTCATCTATAAGGATGCTGTAGCAACAGAACAAGGGGGAATGGGTTCAAACTTAAACATGGGAGGTTCCGGTTATATATAAGAAGGAAGAAATTCTTCCCTGTGAGGAAGGTGAGGTGCTGGCACAGGGTGCCCAAAGCAGTGGTAAATGCTTCATCCCTGGCAGTGTTCAGGACCAGGCTGGACAGAGTCTTTGGCAGCATGGTCTAGTGTGAGGCATCCTTGCAATGCCAGGAGATTGGAACTGAATAATCTTAAGATCATTTCCGACCCAAACCATTCTGTGATTCTATTTCAGAGGATCTTCAGGTGCAGTTTGCAAACCATACCAGTGGGGTTTGGTCAGAGGGTCGGCAAGAAATAATGAAGGTGGGAGATCAGCAGTTGTGTTAGCACCTTTAAGTCACTGTGCCTGTATGCACAGAACCCAGTGCCTGCCACTGATGCTGAAGTATCTAATGAACTATTATTTTCAGGCTTCTTACATTGCAGAAGAGGCTCTACAGCTTGTACGTTTTCTGGTGACTAAAGTATTTGCCACCATCAGAAACATCAGCAGAAGGTCAGACTGACTGCGGGAGAATTGTGTGAATATTTTTGCAGCTTTCATTAGCAAAATTATTTTAATTAGTGAAACCCAAAGTAATTGAAGAAGAAGGTCACTTTATTTGTTTAGGATCAATGCTTCCATCACCATCCTGGTAGAATAGATTTCTCCAGTTGTGAGGACTAATTCTAACCTGATGTAAATTAAGAATAACTCCACTGAGACAAAAGAGAGCCCTTCCACTATAGAACTCGCATCTTCAACACTGCTTTAATGGTGAAGTGTGAAGCTGGGTGTCACAGAATCACAGAGTGGTTTGGGTTGGAAGGAACCCTGAAGCTCAACTAGTTCCAACCCCTGCCACGGGCAGGGACACCTTCCACTAGAGCGACTTGCTCCAAGCCCCTGGGTCCAGCCTGGCCTTGAACACTGCCAGGGATGGGGCAGCCACAGCTTTTCTGGGCACCCTCTGCCAGCACCCTCACAGGGAAAAAACCTTCTTCCTAATGTCTAACCTAAATCTCCCCTCTGTCAGTTTAAAGCCACTGCACACATCTATTCATATCTGGTCCCTTTCAAAGGCACTCTGCTTCTCAAATAGTCTTTGGACTAGTTGGACCTATAGGATCATCTGCAAAAATATAGTATACTTTTAAGTATATCATGATATGAGATGTATGTCTACTGTATCCAGGATATTGTATAAATGCAGTAGGTACTGAGCTTGTTCAAGGGATCATCTGCTTACCCCATGGCCACAAACAGGCTGATTTCTTGCCGGCACAGTTACAACAAGTTGTAGTAAGGAGAAAGGTATTGCAGGCTCCTTCATGCCACACATGAATGTAAGGATTTGATTTTATCTTTTCCACATAGCTGGTTATTTTTTCAAGGAGACCACACATAGGTAGAATGAGAGGAGTAAAGGCAGCCAAAAGTTAAAGAGCTCTGTTAGCATTAAGTTTTCTTTAAGTTTGTGGTGTTTTCACCTCTCCACCATGTCCATAGATTCATGCACAGATTCATGGTGCACCTTTTCTGAACCTCTTTCTTCAATGGCACAGCTCTAACTTCAGAGTCAGCCATAGGAAATGTGATATTCTTAGAAGCCAGTGAGATTTTAAAGAGCCAAATGCTTCAAATACCATTTGAAATGATCAAGGCGGGGGACCACTCATTGGAATTACCATGTGCCAAGAAGTCATTGAAAATAAAACCACCACACAGAATTGCTGGGCTTGTTCTGTGTCATATGAATTCATAATGACCAAACTGTGGCACAGCTCCACTCTCACATCAAGTGTAAATTTATAGTAGTTGCAAGTGAAGTCAATAGCATTTCTTTGGACTTGCAAAGGTTACTGAATGTCAAATTCTGCTTCAGACTGAGAATAAAATCATTCTAAAGATATACTGAGAGCATGATCCTAATTTGCTTCAGCAGCCTTTGGCCTCTTTGTCATATAGAAACCCAGGGAACTACAAAACTTTGGGCTTGTCTTCCTTTTAAAGACTGGATTATTTTCCAGAGACCAGCTGATGAAGCAGAACATGCACCAGTTAGGCACTGGCCTGGTTTTGGGAGGCCTTGCGGATATGTGTGCCCTCAACTGGAACCAGGAGCATTCACTTACTCAACTGGAACTGGGTGATTTTCATTTCCTACACTAGAACTGCCTACCTCAGGGCAGGCAAAACGCTCCCTCTGCTTCCTGCTGTGCCATGAAGTGCACAGCTCTGACATACTTTAAAATGATAGAAACTTCCTGAACTCCAAACACGACTCAGCCCAGGGCTCTGTTGAGACAAGCCATGGAGATGTTCCGCCTCATTTCAGCAATTAGTGGATTATCCTTATGCTGTTTGATTATCTTTGTTATAGCCTTGTGTGTGCTCCTGGAGTCTAATTCCCACTGATTTCAATGTGTGAGATGCGCTTTTTGTTTTAATGATAACTCTGGAATCCGGAATTAACTGTGCCAAATGAGGTTGCATATGGAGGTCCATGTTAATTTCTGTTTAATAGAAATAAATACAGGTGACTCTCCCTGAGGAAAACAGGGTTTGTAAGGTCCTTTGGCTTGCTGAGGTATGTGGATGATGCTTTTATGCCAAGCCTAAATAGTGGGAAGTATTAGAGAAGTTTCTGAAGGGCATATTGAATTTGCATCTGTGCCTAAAAACAAATGTCTTGAGAAATGAGAGTAAAAGAAGTGTGGAAGGATATCCTTGTGTCTCCTCAACTTGAAGTCAAATATCCTATTTGTGCTGTTAGGGCCAAAACCAGGCTGCTATTTAAACCATATGCTGGTATAAGTGTGTTTTGGGATGACTCTGCTGGATAGTCCTTCAGATGCACCCACAGCTTTGAAATCCCATGTAGCACGTGCTTCAATGCATCGCGGGCATGCTCACACCTACAGCTATTCTGTTTGCCTTTGCAGATGCCAGGCTAATCAGAGAACACCTTGTCCCTTGTCCCCTGCTGCAAGGACAGACCGGAGTTTTACTTGTCTCCAGCTGATGGAGCCAGGCAAAGCAGGCACCAGCAGCAAGATCCTAGTGGCAACTTTGAATTTAGAGCATTCCAGGGGCAGCTGTGGCATAAATAAGGTAACCCTACTGTTTCCAGCATGTACACAAAGGAGTTGATGTGTTATAGCACTGGTTACAGAACAGATCCCATGGCTAGAGCTGCAAAGCCTTATGCTTTCAGACCTAGTCTAACCCATGAAGTCTCAGCCAGAATGTCAGCCATTACAAATGGTACTTCTGATGGTCCTGTGCTTCTGAAATGAGGTTGCTTTTATGGAAATGCAGTGACCAGTAACATGACTTTATCGGATGAATTATGTCTTGACACTCTTCCAGGTAAAGCAACAGAGATGACAATTTGGCAGAAGAGATAGAGTTAGCATATGAAAGGATATCTATAACATATGGGCATCAGGATATATTTGTGGGTGAATACATAGCCATTCTTCTGAAAAAAAATAGGTTTAAAAAGTGTCCTTTCCTCTTACAAAGTCAATGAATATTTAATTATGAACCCAAACATACCTAATACATATGTAAGAGATCCTGGAGAAGAGAATTTAGAGGGGACAGGATGAATATAAAGCTGAAACTTGTCAATGTAACCATTAACTGCAGTGGCTCAGTGCCAGTTTACACCACTGAGAATGTGGCCACTAATATCTATTTAGCACATGCTGTCCTGTGCCTCTTGTGATAGTTGTTTTCAGTCATTAGGATTCCTTTAGCAAAATAAGGTCCTGCTTTATCCCAGGAGCAAGACTTAAACTAATCCTAGTGCCTAAAGTTCTTTTCAGTTTTCTTTTATGTATGTAGAATAAGCCATCTCTATACAGTACCTTACAAACTATGTATTTCCATGGGTTATGGGTGTTCTTCTATATTTCTATACTAATTACATAACTAGTTTTGTAAACTTGTTCTTCTTAGGTAAGATGTTCCAGAAATCAAGCTAGTCACCATTAAACACCACAAGTACAGCTGCAGGTTTAAATATTTTATAATCCAATCAAATTGTTTGAGTAGTAATGCATTTAAATGTTGTTATGGAATCCCCTCTAGACTTTTTAAAATGGTTACTCTGTTCTTGGCTTTGCTATTTATGAAATTCATATGGGATGACATTTTTAATAATAGAGCATTTGACTTACAGAGTAGCAATTCCTGCAGTGTCTCACTATAATCTATAATTTTCTGACTGAACTTTCAGAGGGACACAAACACATATCACACTTTTATTAATGAACATATACATCTGTTGATGTTGCCATAATTGAAATGACCTTAAGTGAGAAGCCCTATGTAAGTCATTTAGCATTTTTTATGATGCTTGGGTGAAGATGCTCTACAGATGCAGCTTTAGGAAGCTAAAGCAGGAGTACAAAAGCTGTGCTAAAATGATGAAGGGAGGTTTAATTTGGAAAACGAAACAAAGCACAGCCCACATATAATTAAGCAGCATCCAGTACTATAGAGTCGGACAGAAGACAGGTATCAGGGAGTTGAAATTACCTCTCCTCCCTAGAGAGGATGGCACTGTCAGGTCAGGACTGTGCTAAATGCTGGCTACCATGAGGGTATTTGATTGCAGTTGCTTTCATTGTACAGAGGTTGTGGATAAACTGAGAACATCATTTCTGAGAGGAAAAAGTTCCTTAACCTCCTCAAGCACACAGATGTGTCAGAAGGGCATTTATAAAACAACCACCAGGGCTTTGGAAGGGAAAACAGACCCAAACAAAACGGCAAGGACTTGCTCCTTTGCAGTTCACCTGAGGCTCTTTTCCACTGAAAGGCATGGTCAGAATCCAAACGACTGCATGAAACTGGGGCAGAAAGTTGTGAAAAGACTGGTGAGAAGCAGAACTCCCCTGGGCCCATGCCAGCACTGCCGCATTCACCATGTCCTGTACCCCAGCCACTGGTGCTAGGAGAAAAGGAAGACCGTGGGTAGGGAGCCTTCTGTCTCCCTCCCCTCCTCTGCATGTACAACACGTGGTTTCAGGCAGAGGTGCAATGTCAGCTTCCTCTTCAGAAGTCTCTGAAGTGCTTGCTGTGCTCTCATAGGTGTCTGCTGTCTGAGAGGGTGTGCTGTGAAACCTGCAGCTGGGCTGCAGCATTTCCTGGCCAGCCCTATGGTGAGAGAAAGGTGTTCTAGGACATACAAGCCTCCTGTGCGAACACCCTGTGAGGCACAGATATGCAACCAGGGTTCCAAGGGGGTTGTCTTTTGTTTCAGCAATGATTTTTTTCTGCCCTTCATCTATTTTGTTATCTGTTTAAGAGCATAGAATAATTTTTCTACTGATTATGGCCAAACCAGATGCCCACATGGCACAAATTAGCATATGTAGTTCCCCTGGCTTCAGAGGCACAGGCTAAGATAGTGCTTGTGGTCTACTGGTAGCTTTGATTTGCTCAGTACCATGGGAAAGTTTGATTTAGAGTTTAAACCAGAAAAGCTTTGAAGAGAGAGCCTACAGGTAGAGGGACAGAACCTCCTCCCATATGCACAGTTGTAAATCTCACTCTGGAGCTACTCCAGATTAACTTCACTAAAAATGAGCCTGGAATCAAGCCCTGTATGCCTGAGTTACTTCAGACTGTTATTAATTTGAAGAGAGAAAATGAATCCTTGTGAAGGGGAAATAAGCAATCTTTATTAATAATAATTAGAGAGGGAAGACATTTTTTGATATAGTGGCTTAATTTGGTATATAGACAGATCAGTAAAATATAGAATTAATAATTTTATAAACTAGTAAACATTTTGTGTAGTTTAATATTAATTGTGTTTAAATGTTTCCTTAAAGCAGTATCGCAGTCGCAGCTGCACACAGTGAATTGTCTGAGCCCCTCTGCTTAGTTGCAAAGTCCTTAGTGATGGAGTGGGATCACCAAAGGTGACCAAGTCTTGGGATGGGAGAGGCAGCAGCACTGTGTGTGTGTGTTTGTCACTCCATGTTTTAGCTTGCAAGCCACTGCACTTCCTGTGAACTCTTGCTCAGGATTTGCTCCTCTCTATGCTTCTTGCTCTGGTTTCAAGGCACGTAAATGATGTTTATTATAACTGCTGTTAATGCAGTACCACTCCAAGGCATCTTGTGCTAAGGTGTGGGTCCCGTTACTCTAGGGCCCGAAGATTTGGGTGGTATGTCTATTGAGATGTCAGAATTTGGGAAGGGGGGGAATAGGTTTGGGATATGTGTCCCAAGAGCACATCCAAGTCTATATCCTGTTATTAAACCACATCTCCAAAGCACCAAGGTAATAGTTTTTTCCCTGGGTAAAAGAGAGTTGTGCCACCATCGCCACCATCACTTCACAAAGATCTCACTGGTGCTTTGCTTTCCCTTCTAATCACCTTCATCTTCTTACTTTTGACTTTTGTTGGTATCACAGCACAGAGTAAGGAATGGCTGCAATCCAAATTCTTACTTGACTCAAGCTAAGTGGAAGAAACACCAGTATCAGATTTTACCAGAAGCCACACACTGATGTACCGGGATTATTGTGTTCTTCATAGAGTGATTGTATGTAATTTTACATGTAATGTTCTTTGAACATATGGTTCATAACATAAAATCCCTTCATTTTAATTGACATAATAGACTGAAATGGCTTTTTTTCCCTTGCCAAAGTACTTGTTATGGTCTGTATCACCTATAATGGGCATTCTGTACACCTCCTAACTAGGTATTTGGATGCTGGAATGCAAAAGATTGCTATTTATGAGACCATGAGACCACCTAGTGGGTCAACGATTTGCATTTTAAAAGTTCATTAATATGTACTAGGATCATAATACTGCCAGTGCCTTCATCACACCAACCTTCATCTCCTTCCAGTAAAAAATATCTTTCAAAAATGGCTTTTAACACGAAACAGGAGCAAAAACCCATGTATTTTGTGACTCTCAAGTTGCCCTAATTGAAAGTTTAAAGGACATTGGGCAAAGTATTTTTCTCCTAGAATTAGCTAAAGGCATTTTTTTCCTTCTTGTTGTTTTTAAGAATCCACCAGAGGCTTGAAAGTGAAAAATCTGTTTTCTTATCTAATCCCTTTTTCTTCCTTCATGGACACACACCGCTTCGCTATTGTGAAGCTGCTGCTGAGTGCCAGTCTGCTGGCATTGATTTCTTTTCCTTCTTAGTTAGGAGTAGCACTGTATTTGTTTAGGAGAATATACAAAAGCTAAGGAATTATGTGGGTTTTCTGCACAAATTACAAAGAAATACAAACTTTCTTCTGACAGCTATGTACAAGTTCTCGTGCTCTGCCCCCATCCACATTTCACATCGAACTGGTTTACATCTCTGTACCTGTCTTCAGTTGAAGAGCCTTTGTTAAGCATAATCAGAAACAGCCTTTTCTCCCAACCCTGTATTCATTCCGATCCATATTCTTTTCCCTTTTGCAAAGCAAATTCGTAATAATAATAATTCTTCTGACAAATATTATGTTTTGATTTTCTTTTTTTTTTTGCTGTTTCAAAACCACAGCACGGAGGAATTTACTTTAGACTCCCTTTCATTAAAGTTTAATCCCAAAGTCATATACAGAGGTAGGTGAACGTCTGCATGACTTGTCTGAAATATAGGTTAATTAAGCAAGCTAAATATACTTTACAGAACAGAACAATAGAGCGCTCCGTTCTGCAATTGAATTCAAGAGATTCGGAGACAAAAGTGATCATCAACATTGGCGCTGAGCTTCCCCGAGCCTGTGCTGAACTTTATACAACAGCATAGACTAGTGGTAAGAGGGAAGATTGTCACCGGGGCGCTGTTAGCGTGTTGCGTCTGGGCTGCGTCTTCTCAGGCTTCAGCTGCAGCGGAGCCTGGTGACCTGTAGCTGTGTAAACAGGTTCATAAAACACGACTGTAACTGATAACCACCTTACTTATCTAAAGCTGCTTTCTGTTGACCAGGTAAGTGGAAAACCATCTCGCAGCTAATGAAACACGTAATGTGATAGCAGTTACATCAGCTCGGAAACAGAAGTAGGGGCACTTCCCTTTTGTTTGATCATGGAGCACTCAGTTATCTGCAGTTCAACATAGTCTCTTACCTTTTCA